CAAGTGAATATATCCTTTTTGTCTTTTTAATTTTCCATTTTTTTTTTTTTTTTTTTTTTTTTTTTTAGTTCTTCACAAGGGAAAATGATTTCCAGCTAAATGAAGGATTAGACATAGACTGTAGGATTGTTTTTCTAAACACTAGGAAATTGATGCTTTTAAAGATTAGTCACTGATGGCTACAAGGATAGGAGTAGCGAAAACTCCAAGTGTTTTACTTGCTATCTAGGGATGATGTATAAAAGCATAGGCTCTGATCTGTGTCCTACAAAAGTTATCCTTCCTCTAATATTTTCCCTGAATAAGCTTTTATACTAATCTAATCCATTCTACTTAAAAGTTAATGCCCTTGAGAGGTTCACTTCATTGCCCTCGAATCCACCTATCCAAGTATCAATCACTCCTCCATCATTCTTTGTCTTCTCCCCACTACTTCTTATATCCAATCAGCTTTCTTTATGAAGTTCTCATTCAAACTGGAAAAGTTATTAGTGTTCAGTTTATTTTTTCATTCTTTTCTACCCTGAAGGAGTTTTTATTTAGCTTCTGTGTCTTTTTTTCAGGCATGGAGTAATTTTTCTTGGGTCTTTTTTGCTTCATATAATAGACCCTAGTACAATTTTTTTGTTGTTGCAAATGTGCAAAGATTCACAAATTGTTATTAACTGTATTCTTTTCTAGAAGAAACCTGGAAAGCTGAAGACTTTTTAGTGAAATTCAAGGAACACCAAGATAAGTATTCTAGATCAATTGTATTCATTAACCACAGAAAACTGACTAAGGAGAACAGAAATGCATATGAAAAGACATTTACTTTAAGCAGAAGCCCTATAAATTCAAAAAATTTTATTCCTGAGTATGATACTCATGGAAAGATTTTTAAAAATGTTTCAGAACTAATTAGTAATCTAAGTTCTACAAGAAAGAGACTTAGTGAGTATAATAGATATGAGAAATCACTTCTCAATACTAAACCAGAGACAGCTCACCATGGAGTCAAATCCCATAATCAGTATGGCAGCACTGCCATTCATAATGAAGTACTTGTGCAGTATCATAAGATGGAAACTCCAGCACAGTCACTTGGTTATAATGACTGCGAGAAATCATTTCTTAAAAAAGGAGGCTTAATTACACGTCATAGAGCTTACAGAAAGGAAAATCCATCCGAATATAATAAAAGAAGAGCAAACAATATTGAAAAAAAACATACATGCACTGAATGTGGGAAGTCCTTTTGCAGGAAGTCAGTACTGATTCTGCATCAGGGAATCCACACAGAGGAAAAACCTTACCAATGTCATCAGTGTGGAAATTCATTTAGAAGGAAGTCATATCTCATTGATCATCAGAGAACTCACACAGGAGAGAAACCCTTTGTTTGTAATGAATGTGGTAAATCCTTTCGCTTAAAGACAGCCCTCACTGATCATCAGAGAACACATACAGGGGAGAAATCATACGAATGTCCACAATGTAGGAATGCCTTCAGATTGAAATCACACCTCATTCGTCATCAGAGAACTCATACAGGAGAGAAACCATATGAGTGTAACGACTGTGGGAAGTCTTTCCGCCAGAAGACAACACTTTCTCTACATCAGAGAATTCATACAGGAGAGAAACCTTATATTTGTATAGAATGTGGGAAGTCCTTTCACCAGAAGGCAAACCTTACTGTACATCAAAGAACTCATACAGGGGAAAAGCCCTATATTTGTAATGAATGTGGGAAATCCTTTTCCCAGAAGACAACCCTTGCTCTTCATGAGAAAACTCATAATGAGGAGAAACCCTATATTTGTAATGAATGTGGAAAATCCTTCCGCCAGAAGACAACCCTCGTAGCACATCAGAGAACACATACAGGGGAAAAATCTTATGAATGTCCTCACTGTGGAAAAGCCTTTAGAATGAAGTCATACCTCATTGATCATCACAGAACTCACACCGGAGAGAAACCATATGAATGTAATGAATGTGGAAAATCCTTCAGTCAGAAGACAAATCTCAACCTACATCAGAGAATTCATACAGGGGAAAAACCCTACATTTGTAATGAATGTGGGAAGTCCTTTCGCCAGAAAGCAACCCTCACTGTGCATCAGAAAATACATACAGGCCAAAAATCCTATGAATGTCCTCAGTGTGGAAAAGCCTTTAGCAGGAAGTCATATCTCATTCATCATCAAAGAACTCATACAGGAGAAAAACCATACAAATGTAATGAATGTGGCAAGTGCTTCCGTCAGAAGACAAATCTCATTGTACATCAGAGAACTCACACAGGGGAGAAACCCTACATTTGTAATGAGTGTGGTAAGTCCTTCAGTTATAAAAGAAACCTAATTGTCCATCAGAGAACTCACAAGGGAGAAAACATGGAAGTGTAATAACTCTGTGAAGTCTTTCCAGCATATTATAAAACTGTAGTTTTTTTTTTTTAGAGCATGCTAATGTAATTTTAATCAAAAATGTAATTGTTGTTAATTTAAAGTACCATACATCATAACTGTTTGTCTACTTTTTATTAGTATAAAAAGGGCATGGTCATTGTTACTGAACTCTATCAGCAATGAATCTAATTTTTAAACTTTTCAAGTTCTGCTGACTCATTTTATTTTTTAAAAACATATATGTATAGGCAAGATGAAAAATAGTTATAAGCAGTTCTCCATAAGAGAAAGAAAATATGAACTATATTTCTCATTGTACTCAGTGGAATAAAAAGTAGCTGTTACTTCCCTAAAGATTAACACTTCCTTGGCTTATAACATTGTGAAGTATTTTTTGCATGTCTTTAAATTTTTATGTTCTCATCATACATCATGAATTCTTTTGTGTCTTATTTCACTCAGCATTCTTAAGATCTATACATTATTGCATGTGACAGTAGTGTTTTCATATTCAGGTTGTATACAATTCCATTTAAAAAATATACCACTATTTATCCTCTTAATGGATATTTGTATTTTTTATGGTTTTTTGATGTAATAAAGATACTGCTATAAATATTCTTGTATATTTCTTTGTATGTGTATTTTTGTTGATTTTTACTCCACCCTAAGGGTGTATGTAAGCTTTTTCAACTATGATAAAAACTGCCAAACTTCTCTTAGACATTTCTTAACATGATTGCTTTGGAGAGTAACAGCTCTGATTGTAATCCAAGGAGAAAGGTCTTTAGCAATCATTCAAGTGGAGAATTCCTACTAAAAGGAAATCCTTATGATATTATAATTGTGAGAATGTTGTTAGTCATGAATATATGAATGTCAAATGTAGAAAGACCTTTAGCTGTGGCTTAAACTTTACAAAAAAACAGAAGTCATATTGGAGGGAATTTTACAATTGTCATGGTTATGGGGTAGGGTACTTTTAGCCATAGCATACACTTTCAGCATCAGTAAGAGGGGACATTGTTGAGTAAAATTTGGAAGCATAGTAGTCACAATAGACACAATTATAAAAATATATACAAGTAAGCATATATATATAGTGTAATGAACCTATGTAAAGTAAGTCTTTTATAGCTTGATTTATTTCACAGAAAATGTGAGTCTCTGGAAATCCCAAATGAAAAATCATTGGAGAGGTTTTGATGTTTGGGAATTGGAAATCTGCTGAGACAATAACATCTGTACCATGTTTTCTTTGAAAGTAAGCACAGCAGCAACTTAAACAGTGTTACTAAATGCCCTTTTGGAGGAGGTTAATTTTAACCCATTTTTCCTACATACACTTATTGTGTGTGATAAAATTTAGTAGAAATTAAAATAAGCTGGGGTGTTTTTTTCCCCCCAAATGAACAGAACTGTAAACCAGATCTAAGTAAGCAGGTAAATGGTTGGTAGTTCAAGTTTCTGACATTAAAAAATGTTTAACAAGGCCCTGGGCCAACATCCAGCATGACATGGACCCTTGGCGATCTGGGGGCCAAGGACCCACCAGGGTGAGAGAAGATATTCAGGGCAGCCTGGCAAACCTAGGATGGCTTATCACCATGGACTCAGTGGACAGACCAGATGATGGGTGTCCTGGATATGAGGCCCATGACTGGGCAGGTTTCTTTGAAAGAGGCCAACTGTAGAGCTGCTGGGGAAGCACCTAGGCCTCTCTACTAAGCAGATCAATCCAGGGATACTACCAGCTCTGCTGTAGTAGATTGAGTGGTGCCCCCACCTCAAAAAATTACATCCACACCCTAATCCCCAGAACCTATGAATGTGGCCTATTTGGGAAAAATGTGTTTGTCAGGATCTTGAGATCATCATGAATTATCTTGGTGGGCCCTAAATCCAATGACAGGTGTCCTTGTAAGGGAGGCAGAGAAGAAGCCACAAGCCAAGGAGCACCTTGAACCAGAAGCTAGGACATGGGATGGTTTCTGCCTCAGAGCCTTCAGAGAGTGTCACCCTGCCAATGACTTGATTGCAGAATAAATCTCTGTTCTTTTAAGCCAAAAAAAATTTTTTTTAACAAGCCCTCTGGCCTATAGAAAGGGGCAGCAATTACCAGTGGGCAGTAAATGCAAACATGCTTGTCCTGGTCTTGCAGATCATTTCAGAGCAAAAAAGAACAATGGGTGATGAAGAAAATCAGACATGATAAAAATTTAGACTTGAAAGGGACGTAACATAAAAGATATAATATCTTTTATGATTTGACAAAACTTTGTGAAATTTAGCCTTAACTAGTAATTACTATTTGCTGCGTCCAGCAAGTGGTAAATCCTGCCACGTCCAGCACAGCTCTGGAAAATAAACCTGAGTGGGAACAGTGGGAGATTGAGAAAAGAAAGAAGACAGAAAGCTGGGATCGGGAGGCCCACTATCCACTAGAGAGCGATTTTATTTTTGCAAGTTGCTTTTATACAAGATCATACATTTGCTGGCTAAAATGAGATTATCCCCACCCAACCTCCACATCCTACTATAATCATTTGCATTTCCGTAGATTACCCCCACCCTTCATAGCCTGCTATATCATTTGCATTTCAACACCTGCATTGTTCTCCAATCAATTCCTACTTCCCCATTCTTAGGAGGATTTGTGGAGGTGAGGCAACCTTTGGTTGGCCTCGCAGGTTGCAAGGACCTTGTCAGTTTACAACCGGCTCTCCACACTATGCTTAGAGGTTTTTAATGAGTTTAGGTAGAATATATATATCAGTAAAATAACAAGTAGATTAGGTTACAGATTCTATATTCAGAATTATGAGAACCTAGAATGATTTCATTTGAATAAATCTATTTGTAGAGGAGTAAATACTACTATATGTTAACAGTGGTGACTAACAAAAGAATTATACTCATGACCAAGAATACGAGCCTGCCTTTTTTCCTGGGTATATAGTGCAGCGGGCGGGGGCGGGGAAAGCATGGTCTAACTACATCTGTTTGTTCTAGCCCCAGCCTACCAAATATATTGGGAATGTGTGAGTCACATTCTCTTCGATATTCTACTCTTGCTCGTTTCTGCTCTCCTAGGCATTTCCATATCTGTCACAAAATATAAATTATCTGGCATCCCTACATATACTGTTTTTCTACCTGATTTACTGATTATATCATGAGATAGCCATGTTTCGTTTGCAGTAGAACATTGTATGCATATGCCACTTCATTCTTGTATGTAGGACATAATATTTCTGTTTTGTAAGTCTTGTGTATGAGGTACTAGATGGTATGGTGTACTATTGGACAGTATGTAAATGACTAAACTTAAAAGTACTATTATGGACTCACAGACTAGGCTGTTTTCTTACCTAAGAGAATTGCCAATATAGGAAGTCCTATATACAAGTCACAAAAATATTTGTACTAGTCATTGGACATCTCTACAGATTTATGCTCTTAGCTATTTCCTAAGATCTCCTTAATTTCTACTCTCCTATCATAGATGCTATACCCACCAAAATATGTCATTTACAGGAGTTGAGAGGATGGGGTGTTATTAGAAGAGACACATTGCTACTATCTTCATTGTGACAAAAATTTTAAAAACTCCAGTATGCCAGTCCCAGACTTTTGTCATCCTAAGGCAGACAAGAAATATCCTAAACCTATTTTTACATTTTATATTTCCATTATTTCTCAAATCCTATACTAAGCTCTCTTCATACAAACCCCTGGAAATGAAAATATATATATAATAT